AAAATTTGAAGTGTCAATACAAATGAAAGAAGCTACCCAGGTCCAAGCAACTGTAATAACAACCAACTGCATGGTAAGATGTACCTGGAAGTGAAAGTGCAATTGACAATAAGCCCAGCAACCAATGAGAAGCAATGAACTTGTTATATCAATCAATGGATATTCAAGCAAAATCAAATTACTTTTTTGTCTTCTATAAATAAAAAAGCAAATAAAATATTTCATTGATAATAACATAAAAAACAGAAGAGGCAGAGCGCCACCTTAAAGCGAAAATGCAATTGAACCCAAAGCTAAGTGCATAAAGCCAACTCATACTGCAAATCCATAAGCAGCATAAGAAAATACAACCAACTTTTTTCAACAAAACGGAAACAAAACACTGTAAGTATCTCTGGACTAAAACGAAATGAAGGACAATGACAGCAAAACACAATCAACCCCTACTGAACAAAAAAGACCCCTCAGGCCAACCAGTAGAAAGATAAAGCTTAAATTAGACCCACACGACATCTATCACAATGACAGGCAGTATAATCAGGAACAGAACCAAGAAATCAGAACCATATCAAGAAAAACCACCATTATACACATGAAAAATTCTGGGCAAAATAAATCAATTATCATGGGAGTCATGCTTCCCTCACCATTGCTCCACACGCACATTGACTAGCAAAATAATCTAAAAGAACATTGACAGCAACTCCAAAGACACATCAATTCCATTGAAGAAAAAACTGAACTGTCAAGGCATGCCACTTTTTGTAATTAAAGAATTATAAGAACTAAATTAACCATTCCTTCAACGACCAAATTTACTTGCTGAAGCCACACAAAATTCTTGTTTACAGACAAGAAGATTAGCAAGTAGAATGGCTCCATCATTCTCATTACAACTTATATCACTTTAAAAAACACCCTCAACACATCCACTTCTGTTCATTAAAACTAAACCAATACCCAAACTACCTATAATCACTTCTCACATCCCAGCACTAGGACTCAACACTAGCACACCCTCTTCAATCATTAGCCATTCCCCAAAATAAAGAAGATAACAACACTAGAAGAAAAAAACATAAAACTAAATAATAACATTAATAAAATTAGAAGTCAGCGATTGAATTCATCTACCCAGGGAGACCAAGCTCTCTCACAGGCCACGAATCCACAAGGGGATTGCCATTTTCTGCAACCTTCTTAACTGATTGGTAGTCAGGGTCGTACAGAGCGTATTCATATCTTGAATGCCAATAAATCAAAACTTTTCTGTTTCCAGTAAAACAGACTGCAGTCATCACATCCCGGTTCATTGGATCATTTAAAGGGGTGTTGAAGTTGCCATCAGTACTATTAACTCTGAACAATTTAATCCAAGATTTGGTAAGTTTCATCACATTTTCCTCCATCATCCACACGTCATAGATAACCTCCTCATCAGATACTATCAAACAAAGGGACTCTCCTAAAGATCCAAGCCAATAAACGCTTTGGATTCGTTGGTGGATAGTATCCCGCTTACAGATTCCTCTTCTCTCAGTCTATCTGTGCTCAAATCAAAACTTACAATTCCACAATTAGATCGTCCTTCACGACTAATTAGCCAGTAAATGCAGCCATTGAGATGTTTCGCCTCTGTAGCAAAAGCTAATAAACGAAAGGAGTACTCTACATCACATTGAGCAGTTTTCCGTAAACTGTCTTCAGGCTCAAGCTCTGGATCTTACCTAGTTTCCTTGCAAATGCAGGAGTTGTGGCTGCTACGTTGCTTACCGAATCGTAACCAAACCCGAATAGTTGAATATCCTTCCGACAACGTTGCGGCATAGGACATCTCCTCTGTTCCATGGTTAAAGGGTTCCAAACAACGATGCTGCTCCTGTTGGTTTCCTTGGAATATAAGTGCGCAGACACAAGGCCGTTGCAGGTGGTTGGTCTCCGGGAGTCGAAAGCGAACCCCATGAGCGTTGTCGTATGGGTGCCAATAGCAAAGTTTGTATCTTTAAGACCCTGGATGATAATTCCTTGCGAGTGCGTACCGAAGTCCGAATTTTGAGATGTCTTGTGATGAATTGTTGATTGAAAAGTAGAAAAAACCACTGCTTGGATACGCATCTAAATCGAAGCAGAGACTTTTCTTCGCCGTATCTAAATTACGATCAGTTCGGCAATGCAGGAGTCTTCCGTCAACCAAAATTGGTTCGGCGTTATTTAATTTTAGGATTAGCGTTTGGGGGAGTTAGAAGTTCTTTTCTGCTTGTCGACGGGGGAGAAGGGGTTGCCGTTGCCGGCGGACATCTTAGGGGTGGGTTCGAACTCGGAACTCTAAAGTCGAGAAATAGAGAACATTCACGTGTGCTTTTATTTTTATACTACAAAAAAAAAAAAAAAAAAA